CTGATTGGAAAAGAGAAAAATAGTTTAAAAAGAAGAATGTGTTTCCTTGAACCTTAATATCATTCCTACATTTTTACTCAGGAAGTTTTTAATGGTGGCTTATTTTGAGTCCAGAAACCTGAAATAAAAGAAACAGTACTTTTCTCATGCTTATTAAGTTCCCTTGTTAAATCATGTTGTGGGTATCTGTGTGCTACAGGGTGTGAATTGGTGTTAATTGATACTGGTGCTTCACAAATGATATGCAACAATGGCAATGAAATAAGTGGAGAGGATGTGGACAAAGTGACTAGCGTGAGCTCAATGTGGATATGATCCATTTTCACTTCGCCTCTGTTGAACGTGTGAAGACTGTTGTTGTTGTTGTTGTTGGTGTTGTGGTATAAACACAGATTTGTTTACCTGCTTGTGTAGCAGTTGAGAGTAATACAACCAGCTCCTTACAATTACTGTCTACCTCTGACTTCACCTGAAGTGAAAACATTGTCAAAAAGGAAGAAAACACAAGGTGTTTCACTCCATTAAGCTGCATTACAATAAACACAAATCAAACTGTTGCTGGATCGAGCTAAATTGATCCTTTCTTTCTCACACAAAAGGATTTTACAAACCAAGACATGGGTGCAAACATCTGCATTGCACCACAGCGGTGCACATGCAGATGCTTGTGTTGGGTTGTCAGTACTCGCTGAGTCAAAACAGCGAAATATGATAGCCATCAGTTGATCCACTTCGAATCCATTAATACTCCCCAGTTGATCTGCGGGTGAAGGGAAGCTCTCCAGCTCGGCTCGGGTTTTGGTCCGGAGCGATGGCTGGAGTCACTGCACCCTGCTCCCCTCTGGAGCCACATCCGCTGTGCCCTCTGCCCTGACTCCTCATGTCTCCTCTCACCTGTCTGTGAGGAGGCGTCGCTCTGAAAGCATCTGTTTTGAGGAGCAGGAGCCAAAAAGTGTCCCTTAACTTTGTTCATTTTCTGCCTTAAAGAGCATCTCTGGCGTCTTTTCAACTCACGATTGGTCTGTCTCAGGCTTTTGACTCATGAAAAACATGAGGATGCCTCATGTGTCTTCGGCTGTAAAAATGATGCTCCTGAGGTATGGGAAAGAATGGATAAAATGTGACAGTTCTCCATCAGCACTTCTAGGAATAATCACTATTTACTTGTCTTGTTTAATCTAAGGGCTTTTATCTCGGGCTTGTGGAAGAAACTGCATTTAAATTCTACAACACTGCTTAATTTATATAGCAATTATCAACTTTTCCACAAAAGCGCAGTAGTGTGTTCCTCTCCTGAAGTGATAACTGATTTGCTAGTGCCACTGAGCACATAGCTTGAGGGAAGCAAGGAGATTAGATGTGAGAGAATTGTCAATTCACTGTGTGTCTTTCCGACTGGTGGGATTTCTGTTTAAGCTCACTGAGCGCTGGAAACACCTTTTCTCTTTCTTTTATTTTTCTAACCAGACACTTGTGTGTGCTGTACATCACGACAGCAAAAGTCGAGATCCAATTCTTGGTAAGCCAGCGTCACATTCCACTCCAACCTATTGCATGACTAATGTGTTGGAGCAGCAATGCACTGATTGCAAGCAGGAGTTAAGTAATCTGCTCAGTGACTGGGAGGAGCGGCAGCCATGAGGTGTGCAGGGTGTGGTCCGGAAGAGGAGGATTCTTGTCTCTAGACCGGACACACCAAAAATCTGGCAATTCTTTTCCTGCTGAAGTCACCGAAATGTCCCGGAGATGAGAGAAGTAAACCGTGAGCGTGTACAGTTTGGAGATGGTTTGACCTTAAGGGAAGTGACAGAACTGGAGCAGCGATGGCTGATGTGTCCGGTCAGTGACAAATAGCAGTTTGAGCTGAGAAACACCATTCATCCGAGTAGGAAAAAAACTGTGTGCTTTTTCTGCTTGCATTTTTATTTGTGATCCCGACATTTTAACGACACCTCTTATAAGTTTGTATGATTGAATGTTGAGAGTTATGG